CGGCGGAGCCCGGGCGGCGCCTCTGTACCTCGCTCAGCCCCGGCCGCAGCCCCGGGAGACAGGCCAGGCCAGGCCAAGCCAGGCCAGGCGAGAGCCGGGAACGGCCCCCGGCGAGCCCGTCCTCCCGCGGCGGCTCCCCTGACGCGACTTATCCGCACCGCAACAGCCCTGTGAGGTAGGTCGGGCTGGCCCAGGTCACCCAGTGAGCGCCATGGCTGAGGGGGGGCCAGAACCCCGATCACCTGAGTCTCCGTCTCAAACTTAACCGCTACTGCACACTGCCTCCCCTTTAACCGCAAGACGATTGGGAGCTTAAAAAAACTTTCCAGGGTTCTCCTGTGCTTCCTTTGCAGTGATGGGCCCACAGGATATACTGCAGGGAAAATAATACTATCTGTGGTATGCTTCTGGCTGGTTCACAACTACTATAATAACACCTTTTATGCCCCAAAACAAAACAAGACTCTACTACCAAATAGCAATGCAGAAGATAGGCTGCATCTGCAGCAGAACAGCGAGAATGTCTGTCTGCCAGACCTTGTCTTCCAAACAATCTTGAACGAAAGGTGCAGGAGATCAACTTGCAACTTGCTTGGTGTGCAGTCATGCCCAGCCCAAAGGAGATGAGAGAAGGCAAGGGCCGTGCACTCAAGGCCAACTGCTTGAAAGAGAGAGGCCTAAACTACATTCAAGGTTTGTTAGCTTCCACCATCACCCCTGCCAGAAAAGTCTAATAAGCAAACACCGCCTAAACAACATGTTTAGAACTGAGATTGTCTGATGATCATGTGATGCTACAGTTGTTTTTTAAAAAATCTTAACATTAACGGATTTATTTTAGGTAACATAGGTCTGTTTCATCATGTTATAAATGTGGAAATGTAAGTGTGCAGCTGTGGAAGCTAATATCCTAGTCTCACTAATATCAAGCTCAGATGGTGAGTGCCAGCCGGACTGGTGCCAAAGCAGGGGCTACGGAGGAACCAGGAGGAAATGCCAACTGCAGGGGATGCGGATAGACAGACGGATATCCTCACCCAAACCCCACAGCAATCGGGCAGGCTTGACCACTGGGCCAGTGTTGTCAAGGGTCATTCCTCTCCGCCCTAGTGAAATCCAGGACCTATGAATACACACCCTGCCTGTGCTCAGAGTGCTTGCCCCGCATCTGGAGAATGTGGAACGAACAGCCAGCTGAAGCCCTGGAGTGCTTGTCTTCCACGTAAGAACTTCCTTGAACCAGCAGGAGGCAGCTTAACTCCGTGGGCAAATTCACATGAAAGGCAGCCAGCGTTCAGATCCGCCGCCTCCAGACAGCCACCCGGGCATCTGGGTGCCGAGTGCACATATTGGGGTATGGGGGAGTGGTGGGGAATCCTCTGGCTCCAGCGGAACAGCTGCTAGGAAATAGTGAAAGAGGAATAGAAACACAGAAACAGAGCGAGTCAGAAGGGGTCTCCTGGGCCATCTAGTCTGACCTCCAGCACCAGCCAGCTCCGCTCACGACATGCCCACCATGTGGACGTCCAGCCTATCCTTGAACACCTGCGCAATGCATCACTCCTGTCCTCCCTAAAGCCAGGAGCATGCAGGGATCCTAGAGGGCTGGCTGCACAAACCCTTTGTCAAAGTGAGGGCCACTTGCAGTGGCTCCATGGCACTTTTGCACTCCTGAGGCTGTGCTGGGGACAGGCAGTTCTCGCTTTCTTCCAGCTTCATGTCAGCCCCTCCCACCTTCTCATCCTGGTACTGATTATATTGCATCATTTTGACTTTTGTTGTCTTTTCGCTGCTGCTGTTTTGGCATTATGATTGCAAACCTCCTAGAGGGCCAGTTGGCTGGCACACAAACCAATGAAATATAATACTTTCCTGCCTCTTACTATAGTGAAACAGAATGCGAACTATTGCCCACAAGTTATTGCTTCGGTTGCTTGCGCCTCTGGACAAGTCAGGATTCCTAGGTCTTATCCTAGCCAGTTATAGAAACCATTTTGGGAGCAAACCGATACTTATTTAGACAGAAAAAATTCCTGCAGCTCTCTTTTTGTACCCAAACCTACATAGGATTGTGCTGTTTACTGCTTTTAGACTGATAATTGATTAATGCTGAACTCCTGTCATTGCACATATTCATGGGAAGGTCCACCAAAGCCACCATAGCTTGCCATAAGCTTGCCACACACCGCCCTGGACCTGAATGTTGAACACTACTCGCGTTGTTACAGGATCCAGCCAGTGAAGGCAGGACCGGGCTTTGAGGTAGATGTTCCAGCTCCACCCAGCAGAAAGAGCAGGTCAGCTCCAGCACCTGGTGCGAAGTGATGCCATGCGGGGGCTGGGACAGGAGGTGAGCAAGGCAAAGGGCCCTGGCTGCACCTGCCACCCCTCGTACACAAGCACCTCAGTGGAAGGGCGAGCACAGCGAGATCAAGCATCATCAAAGCATCATAGTCCCTGGGTGGCCGGGGGAGGAATACATGCAGCCTTGGGGTGAGGAGAGGGACTCGCTGGCGGCTTTCATGAAAGGCTCTGCAAGGGCTCCTTTCCTGAGGCTGCAGAAGGGGGAGGAAGGGAGGTGTGATGGCAGACCAAGGGGCAGAGAACTGTCGGCCCAGATCCACAAGGCGCTCCATCCATCTTGCCCATGAGATGGGAAGGCAGTAAAGTTATAGGAGTTTTTAAAGAAATAATGATGAGTGCTGTCTGAGAAGAAAGTGATTTGTTAAGGTTGAACAGGTTGAAATGCCTCTGTTGCCCCCCCCCCCCAGATCTGGTCAATAATATTCAGTAATAATAGACCATTATTGTGGATTAATCATGTGTTGGATTCAGGTTGTTGCCCAACTAAAGAAAACTGATCCAAAGATTGCTTAGATGGAAGGAAGTCCTGTACCTTTCAGCAAGCCCTGTCAGGTGGCCGGGAATTGTAAGACTTTTGTCCAAACATGGGCAATTCCTGCTGCCATTCTCTGCCACCTGCTTGGCTCCAGAGTTCCCAGTGTGACCTCAGAGTGGGTACCAAGGGGACATCCTGCAGGTAGGGAAGGCATCCCACAAGGTCAGGAAACAAGCTCCCTGCACCCAGGCAGAACACCAGCTGGGGAGCTGGGAGATCCGGGTTGTAGTTCCCATTCTGCCATGAAGCGCATGGGCGACTTTGGGCCGGGCGCTGGCTCTCAGCTGGGCCTGCCTGGCAGGGCTGTTGTTGTGAGGATACAATGAAGAGAAGGAGAACCTTGCAGGCTGCCTTGGGTTCCTTGCAAGAGGAAAAAGGGAGGGATAAAAATGCCATGTGACAGCAGCAGCATCTTCCATGGGTGGTGGTTCCTGTTGTTGTTAGTAATAACAATAATAATAGCAGCAGCTACTTCTGCCCCCACCTCCCTCCTCAAGCCCATGATGCACCAGACAGAGGCTTGACTCTGCGGGCCCCCTGTATGGAGGATGCAGTGGTCCAGGATGGCAGGCCCGAGGGAGGGTGCCCCCCACGTGCCCAGACGTCCCTCCCTGCCGCTGCTGCTGCTGCGCGCCACCACGGGCTTGGTTTGCAAGGCCTTGCCCGATCCCGGAGCAGCCCTCCCACCCCGGGGCTGCCTAGCAGGCAGGAGGCCTTGCTGGGGGGGGAGGCATCAACTGCAGCCGCGTCAGGGGCCACAAGAGCCTCTGTGGGACCCCACACATCAGCACCACCCCGGTGGGAACCACGCAGCACCGTTATTCATCGGAAATGCTACTGGCTAGTAGTGCTGATAAATAGCAAGACCGCTACTAGAAGTGGCAGTCCTGGTGCTACATAATAGCGACGATACTGAGACTTTGTCAAAGCCTTTCCGTGCAAAGGGGAAATGGAAAATACGCTTTTGTTTCAGGCTCGCTTCTCGCGTTTAAGCGGAAAAGGGGATCCTGTCGGGGCGGAAAGACAGGGCGACCTTTCTGAGCAAAGGGTGCAGGGCAGGGGCGGAAAGAAACAGCTGGCTGGAGGGGATTGAGCGGGAGGGGCCCGGCCCGGCCCAGCCCGGCCCCGACACCGAGGAACGAGCGCGGGCCTTTCTTCGCCGCGGCGACGCGCCGGCCCAGCAGCCGCGCGGCGAGCCCTGCGCCCGGGGGGCGGCTGTCCGTCCCGTGACCGGCTGCAGGCCCGCCCGGGCAGGACTGGGGCAAGAGCGGCGCCCAGGCCAGCCAAGGGGCCGACGCCCCGGGGCGCGAGCGGGCGGCTCGGTCGGATGGGGCGCGTTTCCGCCTCGGTTGTGCCCGTCGCCAGCCTGGGACGACCCGGCCCGGGCCCGGGCGGCTTCCTGGGCTTCCCAGGGAAGGGGCAGGGAGCGGGCTGGATACACGTGCCGAGGCGCCCGGGGAGTCCTGCGGGGAGCTCGGCCGCCGCCGCTCCTCTCGCTGCCTCGGCAGGTCTGGGCGTCGCGTGCGACTGCCATCCAAATCGGCGTGCGCGGGATTGCATCTGCAGGACGGGAATAGGTGCCGGGGCTGAGCCCACAGGCTCGCTCCCGCGCCCGCCGGGTGCGCACGCCCGCGCCGAAGGCCTTCTCCCCTTCCCGGGCCGTCCGTCCTCCGCCCCGAGGCACCTTCTTCCCTGGACCGCACTTTGCCACGCGGTGGCCGGCCCGCGTCCTTCAACGGAGCCCCGGGAATGACTCGTCCGGAGGCGCAGGGCCAGCCGCTGCCGCCACCCGCGAGGCAGCCAGTCCCGGGTGCAAGAGGCGCGCCTTGGTGGGACCTCCCCAGCTCTGCCCTGC